TTCAATCATAAACGTTCAAGTCGTTTTTCGGATATAAAAAATAGGAAAACTAAAAAATTTTTTTTTACAGATTAATTCAATGGTAGAATAATGTGTTTCGGCCACATTCATATAGGTTCGAATCCTGTATCTGTTATACATCTTAGAGCGAATTTTTGGTTTTAATAAATCTGTAAATTACAGACTAAATTTTCCATTGTTTTATATTATTGATTTTTTTTGCATCTATTGTAGATAACTTTTACGATTTTTTTCTATTTAACTTAAAAAAAGGGGATATAGTTTAATTGGTAAAACAGCGAATTTGCACTTCGTTAATTTAGGCTCAAGTCCTGATATCTCCACTAATTATTATAAACCTATTTTTATAAAAAAGCTCGAGAAGCTCAATTGGTTGAGCGGAACACTGAAGATGTTTAGGTTATAAGTTCAAATCTTATCTCGAGCATCTGATAGGTGTGCTGAAATTTGGTAACCAGGTTCCGCTTAGGACGGAATAGTTAATAACTTTACAAGTTCGAGTCTTGTCATCTATATAATTTAAAACAAAATATATGTTGTCGACTAATCGGTAAGTCATAAATTTTTGGTATTTACTATTGAGTGTTCGAATCGCTCCAACATAGATTAATTAAATTTTATAAGACTAAATTGTTTTAGCTATATTACAATAAATATAGTAAATAAACATATTAATTTTTAAAATTTAAATTTGTAAACGCTATAGGATATTTATCCTTAAAAAATTTAGTATATTTGAAACCCTTTATAATTTGTTTTACATATTCAACATATAACTTTGATACAAGCTGCAAAAATAATTGGTACAGGTTTAGCTACAACTGGTTTAATAGGTGCGGGTGTAGGAATAGGTGTAGTTTTCGGTGCACTAATTATTGGTGTATCTAGAAATCCATCTTTAAGAGGTCAGTTATTCTCATACGCAATCCTGGGATTTGCTTTTGCTGAAGCAACAGGATTATTTGCATTAATGATGGCATTCCTTCTTTTATATGTTGCATAATTTTTAAATTAACTTATACAATTTTATGTAAATACTTATAAAAAATTTTTTTACATTTATTATTTATAATTTTTTTAAACTTAATACAATAAAAAATATTTTAATTTCAATTTTTGAATTATCTAATACGCATAACACAAATAAACATTTAATACACTTTTACAAATAATATATATATATATATAAATTTTAACCTAAGTATATTTTTAATTAATAAATGAGAATTTTAAAAAGTCATCCTCTTTTAAAAATGGTAAATTCTTATGTGATTGATTCACCCCAACCATCTAACATAAGTTATTTATGAAACTTTGGATCTTTATTGGCTGTTTGTTTAGTAATACAAATTGTAACTGGTGTAACATTAGGTATGCACTATACACCTAGTATATCAGAAGCATTTGACTCAGTAGAACATATAATGAGAGACGTAAACAATGGATGACTAATACGTTATTTACATTCAAATACCGCTTCTGCATTTTTTTTTATAGTGTATCTACATATAGGTAGAGGTTTATACTATGGATCATATAAAGCACCACGAACATTAGTATGAACTATAGGAACTGTGTTATTTATAGCAATGATGGCAACAGCGTTTTTAGGATATGTTCTTCCTTATGGTCAAATGTCTTTATGAGGTGCTACAGTTATAACTAATTTAATGAGTGCAATACCTTGAATAGGACAAGATATAGTACAATTTATCTGAGGTGGATTTTCTGTTAATAATGCAACTTTAAACAGATTTTTTGCATTACATTTTGTATTACCTTTTGTATTAGCTGCTTTAGCTTTAATGCATTTAATAGCTTTACATGATTCAAGTGGTTCAAGTAATCCTTTAGGTGTTTCAGGTAATTACGACAGATTACCTATGCACCCTTATTTTATATTTAAGGATTTAATAACAATATTCTTATTTATATTAGTATTATCTATTTTTGTGTTTTTCATGCCTAATGTTTTAGGTGATAGTGAAAATTATGTTATGGCTAATCCTATGCAAACACCACCTGCTATAGTACCTGAATGATATCTTTTACCATTCTATGCTATATTAAGATCTATACCAAATAAATTATTGGGTGTTATAGCAATGTTTGCTGCAATATTAGCATTATTAGTAATGCCATTTACAGATTTATCAAAATTAAGAGGTAATCAATTCAGACCTTTAAGTAAAATAGCATTCTTTATATTTGTAGCAAATTTTTTAATTTTAATGCAATTAGGAGCGAAACACGTTGAATCCCCATTTATAGAATTTGGACAAATTTCTACTGTTTTATATTTTGCACATTTTGTAATTATAGTTCCTTTTGTAACATTATTAGAAAATAGTTTAATAGATTTAGCTTTAACAAAAAAGTAAATATATTATGACCCTATGAATTAAGAGGTTTAAACAACTTACTTAATATTAAATTTAATGTTTGTTAAATTTTTGTGGTTACATTTAATTGATAAAATTTTTTTTTATTTGAATTTATAATAAAATTTCTAGTGTTTTAAATTAAGACTAAATTACGAAAAATTTTCATTTATATGATGCAAGTGAGTGGTGTGTAAAGGGAGGAGGTGGGTTTTAAATTTACAACATTTTTTACTTCAAATATACTAATAAATATAATAATGACAAGCTTAACTTTTTTCTTTATATTCATACCAATTTTAGCATTAATATTACTAGGTTTAAATATTTTATTATCACCACATAATCCTTATCAAGAAAAAAATAGTGCTTTTGAGTGTGGATTTCATTCATTTTTGGGACAAAATAGAACTCAATTTAGTATTTCGTTCTTCATCTTCGCACTTTTATTTTTACTATTTGATCTAGAAATATTATTAGTATATCCTTATATTGTTAGTGCTTATACTAATGGTATTTATGGTCTGGTAATTATGCTAGTATTTTTCTTTATTTTAACTTTAGGTTTCGTATTTGAACTAGGAAAAAATGCATTAAAAATAGATAGTAGACAAGGTAACAATATTCAATTGAAAAATTGAAAACAATTAGTATATATAAACAATTAGTATATAAACAATTAAATATAATAATATAACCATAATTAAAAATTAACAATAAACTAAAGAAGTGGTAAAAATTGCATTTATTGATACAGGTTTTGACATATTTTATTTAGTTGTTTGTTAAATTTTTGTGGTTATATTTAATTGATAAAATATTTTTTTTTATTTGAATTTATAATAAAATTTCTAGTGTTTTAAATTAAGACTAAATTACGAAAAATTTTCATTTATATGATGCAAGTGAGTGGTGTGTAAAGGGAGGAGGCGGGTTTTAAATTTACAACATTTTTTACTTCAAATATACTAAATTAAATATAATAATGACAAGCTTAACTTTTTTCTTTATATTCATACCAATAATAACATTTATTGATAGTTTTAACATATTTTATCTAGGGGCGCTAGTGGGAATAAGTATTATCACTGTATTTTTTACTTTTGGCCTACAAGGGGACGAAACTTCTTCACAGACATTACGTTCAGCTGAAAAAGCTGATAAAGATGTCCGTAAGGATACTGACGTTTTAGCTGGTTATCTTGGACCTTTTTTAGGTAAAACTTTATATAATGCTGGAAGAAGGATTGGGCGTCCTAGAAATAGGAATAGCGTTACGGCCAGATATCTTTATGATCAATTTTCTAGTCGTAATGTGTTTTGTTGCCCAGGTCGCCAATCAGATACTCATTATCCTAGCTTTCATACTATTATTACTCCAGACATGATAAGTAAGATTATAACTTGCGATTGTAACGTACCTGAACAATACAAAAACAGGTTTCTACCTAGAAATGTACCTAGACGTACAAATTAATTCACTTTAAAGTATTTTTAATGCATATCTCTAGTGCAAAAAAAAAAGTATATAGTTTAATAGGTAAAACAGTGAATTTATATTTCGTTAATTTGAGGTCAAGTCTTGATAAGGTTAATATCCTTTTAAACAAAAATTATTAAATTAAGCATAATAAGATATAAATTATAATTTATTATGCTTGGTAGACAATTGTCTACATTATTATCTAAGTTGTACACTTTTAGATAATATTTTCTTTAAAGGGCTAGATAAAAATATAATACCATTAATATGATAGTAACTGGTTTAATAATTATATTAGCAATAAAGTATAAACCTATCTCTAGCCTTTGTTTTCATATCATAATTTAGTTTATAAATATTAAATGAGTTTTTCACTAATTTTGTTTTTAATTGGAATATTGGGTTTCGTTTTAAACAGAAAAAATATAATATTAATGCTTATTTCAATTGAAATAATGCTTTTATCTATTACATTTCTAATATTAATAAGTTCATTAAGCTTTGATGATATATTAGGCCAAACTTTTTCTATATATATAATAGCCATAGCTGGAGCAGAATCAGCTATAGGATTAGGTATATTAGTAGCATATTATAGATTAAGAGGAAGTATAGGAATAGAATATAAATAATGTATCTAGCTTTAATAATTTTACCTATATTAGGGTCAATAGTATCCGGTTTTTTTGGAAGAAAAATTGGAGTTAGTGGAGCACGTATTATAACATGTACTTGTGTAATAATAACAACAATATTGGCAATAATTGCTTTTATAGAAGTTGGGTTAAATCAAATACCTGTAAGAATAGAACTATTTAGATGAATAGATGCAGAATCATTAAATGTAAAATGAAGTTTTAATTTTGATAGTTTAACGGTATCAATGTTGATACCGGTATTAATTGTATCTTCTTTAGTACACCTATATTCGATAGGATATATGAGTCATGATCCGCATAATCAAAGATTTTTCAGTTATTTAAGTTTATTTACTTTTATGATGATTATTTTAGTTACAACAGATAATTTTTTATTAATGTTTGTAGGATGAGAAGGTGTAGGTGTGTGTTCATATCTATTAGTTAGTTTTTGATTTACAAGAATAGCCGCAAACCAAAGTTCTATTTCAGCATTTTTAACTAATAGAGTTGGAGATTGTTTTTTAACTATAGGTATGTTTGCTATGTTATGATCTTTCGGTAATTTGGATTACAATACAGTATTCTCATTAGCACCATATTATAGTGAAAATGTTGTTATTATTATAGGTATATGTTTATTAATCGGTGCTATGGCTAAAAGTTCTCAGGTTGGTTTACATGTATGATTACCTATGGCAATGGAAGGTCCTACACCAGTTTCAGCATTAATACATGCAGCCACTATGGTTACAGCTGGTGTATATTTACTAATAAGAGTATCTCCATTAATAGAGTATAGTTCATTGGTATTGTTATTA